TTGATTTGGGTATCAGTAAAAGCTTCAGGGAGTGGGTTCCATCTGAGATGAGGCCAAATGATAAATAGCTATCCGTGGAAAGATCTGGAGTGGGGGAATCCCAACAGAGAGGACCACAAGTAGAAGGCCTTGTAGTAAGAATTCATTTTCTATGTTCACGAGGTGAAGAAAAGGCCAGGATATCTATAGCAGAAAGGCAGGACACCACTCAGACTTTATTAGCAAAAACCATGGACCAAGTAATGTGCTGGGTACTGGGATACAAACATGAAGAAGGCATAGTTCTGCCCTCAAGAGGCCATGGACTGGCTGGAGAGACAAAGAGAGAATTCATCTGTTCTAAAGTGAAATCCTAAGTGTTTTACACGATACAAATAAAGTGTGCCACAGCTTCCTATGTTTGGAAGGGCACTCTATGGGTGTTCTCAAATATCTAAAACACATTATTCTGTGCTAGCCCATGGAGTTGTTATATCAAAACTCAACTTCAATCATGTACGTTCCTCAGACTTTTTCCTCTTAACTCATCCAAAAAAAAAAAAAAAAAGCATTGTGCAATGGCAAAGCATACAGTCTATATAATTGACTTACCACTTATCTCTGATACTGACTTACCACATGGTCCCAATGAAATAATTCACTTTATTAGCTGTTGCCTCACTGGGAGAATTTACGATAGCATGAAATACATTCATCAGAATTGCCAAGCTACAGATGGACACTTAGTGAAGATCTACAATTAGTGACATCCACACAGCTGGGCACCTCAGTCTCTCCCACACCTCACTCCTTTTTCAGTATTCCCATAGAGGAGCCCAGTTGGGAAGCTCTTTTCTGACCTCACGTTCACATACGCTAACAGGCATACTCTACTTCACCTCTTTGCCTTAGTCGGTTACCTCTTTGCCTACATCCAGCTTTTTGAGTTGGACTCAAGACCCCGGAGAGTCTAAGCCTCATACCTTTTTACACCCCAAAACCCAGCTCAGAGCCCTTCTTGTAAGAACCACTCATAAGTCTTTGTTGGTTGACCACAACTATATTTTAAAATACATGATGAAGAAATGTGGCAAAGAGACAAATGGAATAGAGGCTGGGGGTTGTTTTCATTCATTTTATTTGTTCAGGAAACATCTGGGAGCACACAGTGTTCATGACATTATACCGCAGGATCTCTGCTTTCCAAGCACTAGTTGCCCCCCAATGCACAAGGAGAAAGAACATAGAAAGTTCAACAACACTGCAGCAGAGAGTCTAAGCCAGAATGACTAGCGGACACTCAAAGTACTAGCAAGGTATTAGAACACAGAGTGTGGTGGGCAAAGTGTGGAGCACAAGATCAGGGAGTAAGGTTCTGAGTTACAGCTCCAGCTCTACCCCTTGCTACTTGTGTGATGCTACCGAAATTCCCCGCTCTGGGCCTCTGCTTCCTCAGCTAAGAAATTGGGAAATTAAGTGTATATCATGGAGTTGTTGTGAGCATTAAATGTTACGATGTACACAAAATATTTAACACCCATGGTAACTGACCGATCACTGGGAATGCTATTCATCCTATTAACAGTGTTACTCGTCAACTGGCTTCAAAACTTCCTATCTGCGCAACCTTAATCAAACAAAGTAAACTCTCCACGCCTCAGTTTCCTCATCTGCAAAATGGGGAGAGTAATAGCACCTACACCACAGGGTCTTTATTAGGGTTAAATGTTAATATTAGGAGGCTAGACAACAAGTGAGATACTATGTAAAACAGAATTCTCCCTGACACAGAGCAAGTGCTCCCTAAACCTTGGTTAATATTATTCTTATTACTGCACCTCACCCTTCAAAAAAAAAAAATATATATAATTATATATATATATATATATATATACACATACAAACTACAGCAGAAGGCCAGAAAGTATGGGAGATTGCAAATTGTTTGCGATTCCTTTCAGGCTGTCAATGCCACAGCTGGATGAAAGGTTTCCCAATACCTTCACAAGGATCGTTAGCGCTAATTGGATGAAATAAAACATTTTTAAAAGTTTCCTCACATTAGAATCTGCTGCTGAAGCATTCGTTCTATGGGGACTAGAAGAGAACTTCAAAAAATAAAACTGGTGAGAACAAAAGCAGAATAACACAAAACCAGAGCAAAAAGTCCTCTGCTGGTTGAGAAGTAAACTACAAGCATGGCCCTTTCGGTCAGCCACCATGATGTGGAGAGAGCAGCCCTCCAGGGCAGAACAGAGGTGCTTGGGGCCTCCCTAGTTGTATTCTGTGTGGCTTGGTCGCATGCTGAACAAAGATGGAGAGAGAAAGGAAAGGAAAGAAGAAGGGATGGAGGAAGAGAGGAAGGGAAAGAGGGAAGACAAAAGAAAAAATCCACATAAATACACAAAAAAGCAACAAAACAAAACACAAAAACAAAAAAACCCAGAGCCCTGAGCTGCTGGACAACTACAACCTAGAGTCAGGTTATGTGAAAATGTAGCAATTTTTGTCCAAACAAAATACATCCTGAAATTCCTATTTGCTTCTTTGCACACAGAATTACACGGTGCAGAAACTATGCTTGAGAGTTCACCCCAACATGGTGGCCCTCATTTGTTCCAGTGCATGGACCCTGAGAAGAATGAAGGTCATCCTGCAGAGGCATGAGCATCCTCTGTGCAAGTCGTCTGTGACACCTGCTGCCCAGTTCACATCCTACATCAGGCTCATGGCCAGTGGGTTGGTGTCAGTCACACCCTAGCTCCTCTAATCTCTGCTCTGTAGGGCTCCATCCACAGGAATGGTCTTCCTTCTGCATGTCAGTCAGACATTCGGTCCCAGGGACTGGCACAGAATGGCACAGAATGGCAGTATTTGTTCTAGGAGGGCCTTTTTATGCCATGGCAGTGTTGGGTCTAAAGAGGAAGCCCCATCATATTCCACTTCCTCCATCTACACCCAAATAAGACCAGAGCAGATGTGAAAAATGTAAGCAGACATTAGGGCCTGGAAGGGACAGGGACAGGGAAGCCCAGACTGAGCAAGAAAGCCCTGGAAGGAAAGGTAAAGATAGAGAAGCAGCCAGCACATGATAATGCAATTTTAACGAGAAGCTGTTCCTAACAAAGGCCCATGCCCTGGCTCATCATCTGCTGAATTCAGCCACTTTCCGGAGTCTAGGTTCTCATGAGCCTTGGGGGCTCTCCTGTGGGGCTAAGACCCAATCCTGGCTCATCCAACCCCCATCATTGTTTATACGATGTGAAACCATTGTCTGTTAGGGCCCCTTTACTGTTTCTTTTATCCAAATCTCTACAGAGCTAACTACCTTCCACCTTCTCCTTGAAAATGCCATCCCATCTGTTCCTAAAATGTTCTCTATGTGAGAATGACTCTTTCTTATCTCCTAGGAACTACTGCGTGCAGCTAAGGGTTAGGGACAAAGGGAACAACCAGAGAACACTAAATTCATCACTGCATTGTGGTAGGGCTTCATTTCTGTATCTCTCATCAAGTAGTATGAAATCACAGCATTTTTAGAGCTCCATGAAATTCCCTTATAAAGCAGATCTAGTAATTCTGGGGTGGGAGGCAGTTAGATATTTAACCTTTGTTCAAATATGTCCCAAAAGGACTTGGTGGAAGAGGTAGGTTTCCTGAGCCAGTGAGTAATGAGAAATTCACTGGGGCCATGGACATTAGCTCCCCAAAGGCAGTGGAAGATGGGATGCTTTCCAGGCCCTGTGTGGGTCCTTAAATCACACACTTCCTTTGACAATGGCTTGACTGTCAAGGCCCCCTCCTCAACATTTTCTGTCCTATGGGTATTTCCTTGAGGGTACCATCTATAAACAATGCACTTTTAGAAGAAGGGTCACCAGGGACAAAGGAATGGACACCACCAGCACCAAAATGATCTTTCCAAGAACCTTCATATACAAAGGACAGGAATGTTACCATGTTGCCTCGCAGTTGGCTCGATGGCCCAGTTTGAGAAACTTTATATAAGAATGCATATTAAATCAAAGAGAGGCAGAGAAATCACTCTTCCCAGGAACCTTCTTAACTTCTACCTCATGCTGACTCTTTCTAAAATTCTAGAGAGTAAGATCTCCCATTATAATCACTAATTCTGTTACCCTCTTACGAGTGACGCAGTGTATAGACACTGGAAATTAAGTTAACATGTCAGTAGACAGGGTAATCAAGGACATAGACTCATCCCACCTTACACAAGACATAGCCAAGATTCTTCTCCTCCTCAGTTTCTGCAAGACTTAACCCCAGAAGCCAATCAGGACCCATCTCAATGCTGAAATCTGTCTGTTCAGTAGTTTTGCACATACTGCTTCAGTGGACAGCACCAAGAGAGAACAGCTAACCACAGTAAATGATATTTTCCATGGACAAATCACATGCATCTCCATGACTTCAATCTCAGAAAGCCATGTTTAGACAAGAAAAAACATGTCCTTCTACCCACCAGCTCATAGTACGAAGGCACTCCAGAAAAGCTCAGACACAGTCCATGCCAGGACAAAACAGCAGCTCTGCCAGAGTACAGGAGCCCACTGGCAACTCCCCATGCCATGGGCAGAGTGAAGGCATTCACACGAAGCCACACTTGTCCTTTGGGACTCATTAACTTCAAAGATGACTGTTCACACTGAGCCCCCGCCAGGTCCCCAGTCACCATGGCCACCGGTTCGGGCACACACAGTAACCAGGCCACTGTCCTCAATCCCGGTGACTCCCTGCCTCAGCCGCCTCTCACGCTTACCAAGTCCTGAGCCAACGAGGCCAGTTTTGGGGAAACAGATCATTTCCCCAACCTCTGAGCGTTTCCCTAACACCACCACGTTCCCGGGGCAGAGCACTCAGCTCATCCATGAATCTTGCAGCCCAAAGAACCAGCGACCTCCGTGCCAGCTGCTCCAGAGCACACACCTGCACCCCTGCCCCTCTCCCCCAACAACCGATACACATCATTGTCAATTCATAGAAGAAAAACAGCTCCCTACCTGAGGGTGGCGCTCTCCCCCTGCCGGACCGTCACGTTGTCCATAGCTTTGGGGAAGGTGGCATCTCCGCTGCGCACCGGCACTCCTGTGGGTACAAGGAACAGCAGCCTGAGAGACACGACCACGAGGCACTTCCAGGGCAGGAACAGGTACCCACAGACCCCCATCCTCGACAGCCACAACTTCCCAGAACTCCGGCTGCGGCGCGGCACACACCCCCCCGGGCGAGCACAGGAAGTGGGTGGGGTGAGGAAGCGAGCTCAGGGACCCAGCAGTGAACTAGAGGCGACCGAGACGCGCGGGAGGAGAAAAGCGCGCAGACTCCTCTAAGTCTAATATTCCTCCCCCAAATCCGGCTTCGGGTAACCAATTTCCACGGAGGACAGCGAAGGGGGCTTTCTCGGTGCTGCTTCGGCCAGGGAAGATGGCCAAGAAAAGGGAAACGCAAGGCAGGTGCAAAGGTGTGGGCACGTCTCAGGAGTCCCTTCTTCCCGTTAGCAGTTCTGACATGGCACTTTGGAGTGGAGTAAGCACTTTGGTACCATAAGGGGACAGGGGGTGGGTCAGATCCGGCTCCCCAGAGGTGGTCTGCAATTCCTCAGTTCAAACAAGGGGAAATCCAACACTTTCTTTGTAAGTTTCGGAGGAAGGACCGCCGGCAGAAAAACAATCCATAACAATAGCCAAGATGGAAAGTAGAGCACGCAGAAGGCGGCTCCGCCAAGCTTCGCGCGATCCGGATCCAGGGATCCTGCGGCAGCCTCTCGGTCAACTTCCTCCCAGCCGAAATGCGCGCTGCAGCCGCTGCGATCCGGCGGGTCTCGGCAGGGCCAGGCGCCGCTGCGGCGACCGAGGCAGGAACGGCCCGGCTGAGCGCACCGCTGCGGGCCCTCGCTCGCTTCGTCGCTCGCTGGGGAAGGCTAGGCGCAGCCGGCACCGGAGCCGCGCGGACGCCAAGCTCAGCGGCCGCCCCCGGCCTCCGCGCCGCCTTCCTCCCGGGAGCAGCCCCGACGCGCGCGGGCCCCGACCGCCAGGGTTGTCATGGCAGCAGCTCCATCACTGACCGCCACTTTCTCCCCGGCCAGCGGCGAGCAAGCGGGCGGACTGCGCGCTCATCCCGGCGGGCGGGCGTGGGGCGCCCGGCGCGGGCGCCCACCTTAACCCCTGCCGCGCCACGCCGTGGCAGTGCACCAGCCAAGGCGAGGAGTTTAACCATTTCCCCCTTTGAGAAGCTGTCACTTCCAAATTAAGAAGAAAGGCAAAGTTACCACACAATCTTAATAAGCCCAAGACATCTTAATAAGGGTCACAAACTAATTAACTAGGAAAGGAAAACCCTGCAGCATGCTTGCATGCACCTTTAAAATTATCAGATTAAATCCATTAGCATTTAGAGTAAATTTACAGTGTTGGAAGGATGTTTTAGAATAATCTAATTTTTATTCAGTAGTCAATGCCCACCCCACCAGCTCTCCACCCCCCACCCCCACCCCCACCCCCACCCCATGGAAGCTACTTTCGAACACTGGAGACTCAACAGCAACATTCTAAACAGAGATCTTCCATATATAAAATAAATGCAAACTCACAGAAGCCCCTTAGTATGTGAAACTGGCAAAATCGCATCAAAATTTTGGTCAAGTTCAGACACTCACTTACATTTTTATTCTTGTTTTGTCGACCTTAAGAGATGCTAGTCCTGCAAAAGTGCTCATTCAGATGAGTGTGAGCTACTTGCTTTATTTATACCGTGGACTCCCATGTTCCCTGGATTTCACAGTTTTGCAAAGCTGATTTCATCTTAAGAGGTGTGTTTTTCAAAATCTTGAAACCCAGGGAAAAAAACTGGATTTGCCTCAGTTTCTGTCACTCTGGCTCCTGTCAGTCCCTGCATATGTACATTTTAATTTCTCCCTTAAGTCCACCTCAGACCAAATGTGCATTTCCCTTCCTAGGCCTGGCCCCTGAGCTGGGGAGAAGCCCATAGCAGCCCAGCCCACAGAGCAGTGCCAACATGAGCATACTCTCTCCTCAAGAACTTCCAGGTCTGAGGCCCCGACACTGACCCAGATTCTCCCAGGGGATAGAGAAGAGGCAACCAAAGGTGACTTTGTTTCTTCCTCCCTCTACTTTCTATCAGATCCAACAAGGAAGCTGGTTTTATTCAACAGCTGTTAAATAACAGAAAAAAAAAATGTTCTTCCCAAAGCCATCCAACGAACACCAAAAAGATTGAATCATTCTAACTAAAAGAGTCTTAGTGCCAGAGAAGTCCTTTCACCTTGCAGGTAATAACCACCACTTATACGTAGATAACATGTGTGTTAGAGATGAAACAAGCATCCTACCCTCCTACTCTCTCCTCTAACTACTTTAGATTGGTAGGGATAGAGGTAGGGTGGGAGCCATACTACAGGATGACAAAGACATACTGAGCAAACGTGTTTTTCCTTTTTAATAGTAGAAATTGATCAACCAGAAAAGTTGGGAAACTTTACATTGAATATCTCAATTAATCCATCATTAGGGTCTTTTTTTTTTTTTCTTCATCTCTGGTGACTTCTCTTGAGATTAAATTCTCAGGGAAACCCATCTGCTATTTTTGGCCAGTGGGGACTATTTGATATATAACACCAAAAAAATCAATTGTCAACTTATGGCTGCAACAAATGACTTTACTATTGGGGGGGGAGGGGAAGCAAAAGCAAAAAATGACATCTATGGAAACCAGGAGAGTTTTGTTTATATTTAAAAAAAAGTCAAAGAAGGAAAACATATTTCTGCATCAGTGTATTCTTGCAAGACCCTATTTTATGTCCATTTTATAATGAGGAAGTTTGGAAGTAGTAAGTAAAGAGTAAGACTGTGTTTGCTGACTTACAGTCTGCTGAATTTGGGGTACTTCTTTCCCTAAAGCCAAGGAGTTACCTAAACTATCCATATATACATTTTACCTGTCTCTCATGCTCCCCCACCAACCCTTGTGTGTAAACACATCCCCACAACCTCAGCTGGAAATAATTACAGTGGTGGGGAAGGGAGAGAGATTCCTTCTGGGCTTTGGAGTCATTTCCCTACAGTTTTGGAAATGGCAGGGATAATTCCTTTTATAATAAATTCTAGTCCTGGATCCTGCATCTAATTCCCACGTAGGTACAAATGAGCATTAGTTTTTTGCATCTGGGAATGTGGATAATGACAACAACTGGCCTTCCCAAGGGACCTACATACATGATTAACTCTACAGGAAAATACTTAGAAATCCATTTAAGGTGGAAGATGCTTTATTAATATACTTTGCCTGCCACCACTTCATTATTATGACTGGGCAGAAAAATAATTCTTCATAGGGGCTCTTTAAGACATTCAGTTTATACCAGTCTGCATGCCATTGATCTAAGACAGTCAAACCATCTTTGTCGCTGGCCGAGAAGGGAGAGTGCTGAACTGTAGCATCAGGTGGGAACCTCAGCAGAGCTCGGGTAAGGCTCAGGGTGCAGAGAGAAAAACCACTTGGAACCTCCTACCTGCCCTCTGGGCCCAGGGACACAAACTTTATTCAAAAATAGGAGTCTAGAAAGTGGCGAAAGACCAGAGATGACCATGCAGTTAACAAGGCAGAATCCATTTCATTTGAACTCCTTGATGAAGTTGTTTGAATAGATGAAGATCAAAATCAAAATCATATGTCACCTCCCTGCCCATGCTCTAATCCCTAAATATAACCAACACTTAGTGGCTTATCTTATATAAGATATCTTATATCTGTTTCGTGCTTCATAAAAACTGCTGGATTTATTTTATTTTTCCCAGCATATCCAAGTTAATGAAAAAGGGATGACAGTCAGAGCAATTTCATTATTTGTGTTCTTTAGAGAAACAACTTCCTTTCTGCCTCCTGGAAAGCAGTTTCCTAACAAGAGCCCACCTCCACCTTCTTCCCCCACACCCCCGTCTCCCTCTCCTTCCTCCCTTCCCTCCTGCATACACATATACTGTACACATAAATCAACTTGTCACATCTTGTGTCTGTGCTGACAGCTGTAATTGCTTCAGGTTATAAAAATATCTATAGGACAATGCCTTTCGAGCTCTCTCTCTCTGTCACACACACACACACACACACACACACACACGCACACACCCCAAGCAAAAGAAAACAATCATACTTCCTTTAATGATCCTTTGACTGCAAAGGGGGAGGGGATCTTGCTGTTCAGACCTTGGAGATCTGGCAGGCAGGTGAGGAGACAGAGATAGAGACTTCTGGCAGCAATAGCATCTACACACTAAAGCAGGGTTGGAACAGGAAAGAAATTCCCAGTGATAGGGAAACCGGTGGCATGGTTGTTTTTGTTTTACTCTCTTACCTACAGCGAGCAAGGCTGGGTTAGCTACTAAAGAGCCATGAATATTCCACACACACACACACACACACACACACACACACACAAAAGACCACAAGAAGAGCACTAGCTTAAGAAATGCCAGTTCTGCTTCTCCTTCTCTAAAAAGGCTAAAGGCCCCCCTCTCCTGGTGGAGATTCTAAATAGGAGTGCAGGCGGGAAGATGAGAAATGCAGGGCAGTTCGTGTGGCTTGGCACAGAGCAGACATTGAAAAGTTTAATCAGAAAGGGTAGTGCGGATCTGGATAAAGAGCTACCTCTAGGGGAGCAGGGGTGGGCTGGACTCGGAAAAAAATGCATGCCGTTCTTTTCCACCTATATGAATATAAGATCAAAATAAAATCATTGTTCATCTGGGCTAGAGTCCAGCATGTTACAATTTCAACAGATAGAGCAAAAGAGCAACTTGAAGAAGGGGAAGAAGCCTCCGAGGAGAAAAAAGGGGTCACGAATAGAGAGAAGAGAAAAGGAGAGCAGGAAGAAGTGGCAAAGGTTAAGCTATCTATGGACTTTGAAAGCCACGCAACTTTCTAAGAGGTACATGAAGGAGAGAGATGGTCAGAAGAATAATCGGTAGGTAGACAGAAAAGTAAGGGAGAACACAATGAACGATTAAAATCAAAGTACCTTGAAAGCAAAAGCCAGATGCCCGAAGGGGAGCGTCCCATTCTGCCATGGGGCAGAATTTTTCCTTACCTAGGTTTTGGGTCATAATAAGAATCACAGAATGATCTGGTCAGAGGGGACCTTGGAATATATTT